TTGTTCTTCGCGGTTGTGTAGCAGGTTTCGAAAAACAAAATAATAAAGTAAGTATTTTTTTTTCTTTGGTTTTTTTGTAATATCACTGATTCATTAAGGGCACATTTGATTTTAGCCACTTTTCTGATTAAAAAAAATCAAAACAATTAAAATGTTTATAACAGGGTTTTTTGAGTTAAAAGATTGGTTTGAGGGTTCTTTTAGGTTACAGTCCGTTTGAAAGACAAGACATAGCTAAACCTAAAATTCACGACTCTTTATAAACCTATTACCTTATTAATGAACTATCTCTGAGCATTTGAGAGATCTTGATTTCAGATGAGCGGCCACTGGAATCAAATCCACTGATAAGAATCAAAATTGACATTATTTCTGTCCAAGATGAAATTTAAAAGTTCATCGAGAAATTTTCAAATTCCAGAAAGATTAGACCAATTTCTGGTAAAATGAAACATACATCCAGATTTCAAATTACGAAACAAACCAATGATACTGATAACAAAAGGAAAAGCAACGAACCCTCTGAAAATAAATTCAAAGAATCATCAAAATCCTCTCCTTAGAAGTCTCAAATTCTTCAGAACAGGGAAGATAAAGAAACTAAACGATTCAGGAACCGAGGTTGATGATAATATCACACCTTGAAATTCATGAAATCAGCCTCAATATTTTCTCCTTAACGAGTTGTTGTTGGAAAGAGCTGACTCGCACGATCTCGAAACCGTAGACTCGAAGCTCAAGATCCAGACCTATAATTATCCAAATGGTTTTTTAGAAATAGAGATTAGGAATAGAAGCATTTAGAGCAAACAAATATTTTTTCCTAATGTCGACCATGAATGAGATCCATAGGGATTTCGAAAGGCGAAGCTTCATAAGATACCAATCAAATAACTTGCTCATCATGACCTCCAAAAAACAATCGAGTCTTGATTTATTATGATCATACATACAAATCATCTTCTCTCAAGCATTTGGAAATGTTTTGGGAAAACAAAAATTAAAAAGGTTAAGATTGATAGTCAAACCATTAATTGGTTTTTTGTTTAATGGTCAAGAAGTCCCTTCGATTTTATAAGAACAATTTATTGAAAAATGGGAGAAATAAATTAGTCAAGCGGAGAAGAAGAGAAGTTTACGAAGCACTTTTCTATTGTTTTTCTTTTTATAATATCAGAAAAT